CACCGAATAATAAAAAACAAGATGATTTATTAACTATAACTGAATTAAATCTAATTGCTATATGTATATAATAGATTGATCTTATTTAAGGGTTGATAATTTATCATTGTATTTAATTGTAACAATTAGCATTGATTAACCTTATTTTTTATTTCTCTTTGTAACCTTAATCATCCTTGGTCTGCACCTTAATTGTAACAATTAACGACAGCAACGATGATAATATTGTTGATTAAATCAATAGCCAATACATTGAATTATTTATTAAAGTTAATTGTTAATCATTGAAAGATTAATTAACTGAGCAACTGATTAACTGTTAATCTGGTTTTTCATGTTCATATTAATAATTGAATCCTATCAGCCAACAAAAATGATCATCAAATTGATTGCTAACAATTAAGTAAAAACTTTCACTTGAGATTAACATGTTTCAGAATTAATATATTTTAATCATCAAAAATTAACTAATAACAATTAACGATTTTTATATATTTATTAATATACAATTTATCAGGTAAATTTTTCCTTTCTAATCAAATTGATTAACATTCAAGTTGATGATTAAACGTTTGATTAACATGATTCAGTTTAATCAATTGAATATCAAAAACTTTTTTACCTTCAACTTATACAATTAAAACTTTTGTTAGTTGATTGTTACACCAACAATTTAACAAATTACCATTAAGGTTTACCAATAGTTTTCGGGTACAAATCAACATCAAACCAACAATCAAAAAGTTAAATTGTTAAATCATTTTAAGGTGTGTTGTTGATAAGTGTTGTTAGTTAATCAAATCATTATTAATGATAATGTTATATGTTTATTTTAATCAACATATCTCAACAATTAACCCGATTTTTAAATTCATTTGTTATTATTAAATTGTATTTTTAATTTCTTGGTGGTCTTGCTTATGATATAATTATGATTAGCATTATAATAGTAGGATAATCTTGGACATGATGATTATCATTATGATTAAGATTTACTGATTCACAATTAAGATAATGGTTAAAGATTATACTTTATTTATTATATTATATCAACGTTATTTTGAATAATTAACTTTAATCATCACTTTTGATCATTAAAACAATATGATAATTAAGATTTTGTTGATTGTTATTAAAAATAATCACTAAATATAAAAGTGATTAAGAAAAATCAAAAACGTTGATTAGTTGATAGCAAATCGATGAGTATAAACAATTAACATATGATCCAATCAAACTAAGATTAACATTGATGTTAATTGTTGACTATTAATTAACTATGTGCTTGGCTATACACTTACAAAGGTAATTTTATCAATCATGATAATACAATTTAATTTAATTGTTCAATATCTGTATCAATGTTGAATAGCATCCGCTTTTTTATCATCTCACGTTGATGATGGCGATCATCATCATCATCATCATAATCATCATCATTATCTTCATCATCCATGCTATTCAATTCAACTCTTAATTATGATGATATCACAATCAACAGTAAAAATAATCCGGAAACAATTTACTTAATCACAACAACAACAACAATCACGCTTTAATTTAGTGGCCTTGTTTTTATTCAAAAATGATGCAGATGAAAAAAGATGATGAAGGATGATAAGGATGATAAAAGAGATTAGCTAATCATGACCAGTAAGATGAAGATGATCCTTATCCTTAATCCTCATCTTGATCACTTTTCATTACATTATCTCATTAATACTTTTACCCTTTTTTTACACCATAACCTAATTAATTTTCATCCTTTTAATCATCAACATCACTCATCATCATCATGATAACTTTTAAATCTCATCATGATCAATATCTCAATTCTGAATGTGATCCATGAAATTCATCATCTGCTCTTCATGATGAAATCCATTTCATCCTTGGTTTCACTTTCCATTGAAGAAATAGTATAAAAAAATAAGCTCCAAATTTCAATGAGTTTATAATGTAAAAGGAAATGAATTGAATACATGTATATTTATTCAGATACATGAAAAATTTCACCATGATTATCATGTATATCATGTGTATATCTCATGAATACATGTATGTACATATAGATTATCTGGAAGAGTGAAAATTCTGGGTCAGAATTTTGTTTTTTTCTTCTTCTTCTATTATCCATTACTCAATCTCCATTTTCTATTCACATGTAATCCATTTTATTCCATTGATTTCCTTCCGTTTCCTTTATTTAAAATCATCTCATGGTTTCCCACCCATGAATCGTATCATGTTGGTTGTTTATCATCATTTACAAATCACTGAATTTGTTGAATTGTTGTGTTTTCATTAATACAATCAAACTGATCATCCTGACAACACACCACTGATCTTGATTTTTTTTTCGTGTTTACATTTTTCAAGGTTAAATTATAACCAAATTGTTAACAATTAGTCCAATTTTTCATCTTAATCATCTTCTTCCAATCTTTCTGATTGTAATATATTTTCATAATCAACTAATTGTGATCAAATCAATGAACTTCCCCCCTCTCTCTCTATCATTTAACTGAATGATGTTTGTTGAATATTAATCATTAAACAATTAAAGGAGTTAATTGTAACCCTAACCCTAAATTGTAATAAGATAATTGTTAAAATTTAAACTTTACCCTTGACAAACCTGTTAATACAAAAAACAAACAATTAAACAATTATCTTAATCATCACCAGGTAATAATAATAAATTGTGATTGTTATGATAATTAAACTTAAGTCACAACAATATAATCATTTGTCCCTTTGAAAACAAAGATTCTGCTCCCTCTCGGTGAAATGATTAACATGGTGATATAATTGTTAACTTAATTGTAACGATAATGATTTTGAAACTAAATGATGATCAACACCAACAACTACCAGGAATGTTAATTGTTACACTGAAATCAACAACAACAATAAACCATATCAAGTGAATTGTTTTCTGATTGCTGGTAACTGTTTTATCATCATCATCTTCATCATCTATTGTAATTCATAGTACGAGAGATGATGAAGACAAGTGATTTTTACCTTGAAGCAATGATGATGACGATGATGATGATGAGAGAGGAAGTACTCACCCGTGCGTGGATTGTCAGTCTGATGGAGGTTATTATAATCATCATTATGATTATAATGATATTAGTTTAGCTCATTAAGGACCCAACGGGTTCATGATGGAATATCCATCAGGCCAATGGCTTCTCACAAGAATTTAAATTGTTACTGTTAATTGTTGTTACCCTTAAATATCAACAATCAACTATCAATCGGCATTTGTATTGTTTATTGTAATTTTCCTTCATCATCAAGATTATCATCTTAATCTTGATTAACTACCAACGAATCTATGATTTAAATCAATTTATCTAATAATTTATTTTCCTTGATTGTTCAAACTGTCCAAAAATAATTTTCTAACAATTTTAATTGTCTCCATTTGATTGTAATGATGATAGGATTTACTTTCAATCCTCTTAATCTCTCAAAATGATTAACGAATCATAAATCATTGTGTTGATTAATTGCTGTAATCTTTCAATTGTTTATGTCTAATTTTGCCTAAGGAGGTAAAAACGTTTACGATTTAAATTGATTGTGATTGTATTTATAATTCCCATCGGTTACTATTAATATCATCATTTTGATTGTTAATGATTATCATGTTATTTATGATCAATTAGTTTATTTATTTTCTCTGATTTAACAAATCATCTTGATTAACTTTCTTGTTTCTGGTTTTTTTTTGCTGCTTTTGTGTGCCTGTTAATATTATTTGATATTCTGTTATCATGGGAAAATGATAATCTATTAATAATTAACTCTAATTTTAGTTGATTGTTAATTGTTTCGAGAAAAAAAAACAAACTGTTAACAGTTTCAATTTAGTTAATTCAATTCAATTACCCTCATAGTTGATTGTTCATTTACCTGGATATTGATGTTTATTTGTAAGAATCACAATCCTATTCATTGTTGTTTTGATTGATTTTTTTTTCTATCACAATTTATGATTAACTTTTAATTTTCTCATGATGATGATTTATAATCAATTGATTTTTTTAGAAATGCTTTTAATTTTAACAATTAAAAAAAGTTTTTCTCCTGTTTAATATAAAAATTAAGGTTCAAGGGATTTTACAATTAGTTGATTGTTTGGATAATTTAATGATGATTAAAATTGATGATTATCAACAGTTAGTTAATTTGTTTGATGAAACTTTTTCAGGTAAAACTTTTGCAATCATGTTAATTGTTACAACAATTGCAACATTTAATTGTTGTGATTTAACATTAGTTTACAATGAGAGATGATGAGGATGAAGATGATGAGGAAGATGAATTAATCATCTTAAGGCTTGTTAATTATAATTAATAATCAGCAGAAGCAATTGAATTAAATCAACAGGAGCAGCTGAAAGTTTTTACGTTTGAATAATTTGTTTTGATTTCAATGGTTGATTTTGATTATTATTAAGAGGATTAACTAATTGATTTATCCTGATTATCATAATTAAGGTAAAGGTAATAAAAATATTAATCACAAAGAGTGAGTGAGAGAGAGAGTATAATGATGATAATGATGATAAGAGTGAGCAAATAAGAGAAAGCAAAGTGAGAGTGATTAAGTTTAGAGGTTAAGAGAAGAGATTATAAAAAAAAGGTAACTTAAGAAGATGAAGAAAGAGGAAGATTTAATTAAGAAGAAAGAGATTGGATTTCTCTTTCTTTCTAAAATAGAAAGAGAAAGATGATGAGGGGGAAAGAGAAATAAAGAGATGGATGATAGGGGAAAAGTTCTAGAGGGAGTAAAGTGAATGTTCCATGTTACTGGTTGAGTGAAGGTAACCAAGAAAATGACATAACATATCCCTGACTCCCTCATTCTCACCCTATCATCATCATGTATGAAAAGAAAGACTCTCTCTCTCTCTTATCATCTTTCCTTTCATTATCATCTTCTCTCCTCTCTTGTTTCTCACTCTAAAGTTGCTCACTCACTTCAGTTGTTATCCAGACTCAAGAGTCTTAACTTCATCTCTTCAGCTAACCTTTTTTGCTTCAACTTGAATACAACTAATAACATAACAAATTGTTGTTGTTAATTTAAATTGTTCAACTTAATTGTAGCCAAAATGTGATCACAATTTAATCCAAGTTTTTTTTTCTTCCTTAATTTATTCTTAATCATCTTTTTCATCTAATCACATGTAAAATTAAAAATCTTTATCAAGTTGATGACATTTAAGTTGCCTTTTCATTCATCAGTCATTCACATTTATCCTCATCATCTCTTCCTTATCCCAATCATCATCATCTTACAATCTTCTTCATCTTCCTAATCCACCCCCATTTCCTAATCATCTTCACTTTGCCAAGAAAATATCATCATTATGATTATTGTAAAGCTCATCAAAATTAATCGGTAACAATTAACAGCAACAATTTAAGTTACGAACCCAAAAAAAATTCAGTGATCCCTTAGTCGTTTAAGTTTGTTGATCCAATCGGAATATGTTTTTAATTACAATTAGTTAACTGTGATCATAATTATCAGTGTGTCCACATAATCTTCCTCTAGTGTCATCCAACAATCAACAATTAATATAAATTGTTGTGTATTAGTCTCTCTCTCTCTGATTGTTGATTTTGTTTGTATCTTTTTCTTAATTTTTTGCTTTTCGGCCAAATTTCAATCAACAATCACCTAAATCATTTATACTTAATTGTCACCTCAAAATTGTGCTTCATTAATTGTTACTAATACAGTTAATCAGGAGGAGAAAAAAACTCCATCCACTGAATGGAATCAACAATCTCAACCAAGAATCAACAGCAATTAAAACCATCAGCAAGCAAGAAACAATTAATATCAAAATCATCACCAGTTAATTTATTAAATTGTGTCTTTAAATTAACCAATGAAGCCAACATGTTTGCCAAACTATTGTCACCTAAATCATCAAAACTATCAAGGTAAATGAATGAAAATTGAGTAAAAAAAAAATGAACAACTCCAACAATCAACTGTTAATTGTTATTAAATCAACTATTGTTTAAAAGTTTTTAAACAAAATTATAAATCATTATCATGTTGATCGTTTAATTGTTTGAAACACACAATCAAAATGATTGTTGTTATATTAAGATACTCATACAAACACAAACACACAAAAGGCAATATCGTGAACATGATTTTACAATACAACAACATCCTATGTCTATTAAATCAACTGATTATCTTCATCTTTTCACTAATTGTAATCAGACAATAAGGTTAAACACTCACACAACAAAGATGTTGATGAGTCTTAATAATAACCTACCTAAAAATTTACCTGTTCAATTACAATTTACCTTTTACAGTCGCTTGCAAACCTTAGGAGCGTGATTATGTTTTCTTTAATATTTTCATTCTGTTGCATCATTATGTTTACCTAGGGAACCTGTTTAAGATGATGATGATGATTTTTTCTCAAAAGCATCATCATCATCATCCTCTTGATATAATTGAGAGGGAAAACTATGATTACCTGTGACTTTTATATAATAGCCCCACTATTTACCTTTGAACCTAACCCATAGTTTAGGTTGTTGTTGTTGTTGATCATCATTAACCAGAACTTGAAAAGTGAATCTCCCATTTTCATCATCATCATCATCATTTTCTGACAAAAAGAGAGCAAAAAGGAAACCCTTCATCATCACCTTGATCATTATCATCATTAACACCCACAAAAAACATCATCTTCATGTCCACAAAACGATCAAGATGAAGATGAAGATGAAATGTTTCCTTAGAACTTTTTTTCTCTCTCATCTCATCATTGTATTGGCTTTTTAAGGTCAGAGTTTTTTTAAACTTCTAATTAGTGTTTTCTATTTAATATCTTCACCTTTTTTCAATCACAATTTCTTACCTTTCGTTTCTTAATTCAAAAGGGATCACCATCATCAATATTATCTTCATCTTCATCCTCATCATCAGCGAAATCTTCTCATCTTTTTGCTTCTTTTTTTTCCTCTTCTTCCATATTAAGCATTTTCTCTAAGCTTTTTCCTCTCTTACATCTTATATTTTTTTTCTTTCTTTTTTTTATTAGTATTTCATCTTCTCTTCTTAATGGGTTGTACATCTTACTTTCTTTTCTTTTTTTTCATCATCATCATCATCGTCATCTGAATGAGTTTTTTCTTTCTTATTTTGAAACAAGAAGGAAGAAAAAAGTTCTAATGATTCTCCTGGAATTAAATTACCATGAGAAGAATTAGAAAGTTGGAATGATTCTGAGTCCAGAATCTTTTCTCATGTTCAACCGAACCTTCATCTCTACCTTATCCTCCTCCTCCTCTCTTAGTCCTCTCATCTTTGTCTTCCTTGTCTTCATTTCATTCTCCTCCTTACAAATTACATCTCTCTCTCTCTCTCTCTCTCTCTTGCTCACTAAATAGTTCAATTAATTACTTTTGCAGTGATATCTTAATTCATTCATTAATTTGATTCGATTACTTTAAATTGCTTGATATTCCAACTCATAGAATCCATTGTTCATCATTCATCTTAATCATAATGATAATCAAATCTTAATTATCTTCCAACTTGTTGAGTTAATCTTGAAAACTATAATCTCTTAATTGTATTCCATTAATTTTAATCATGTATATTAAATTTCCTGAGACATGATGAGACTGATTCATTTTCTCACCTCATCATATTACTCCTTATCACCAAGATTAAGCTTATTAATCGTTAATTAATACTTGAACAATTAAAGTATTCAACAAGAAAACCTTAACAATTAAAATGATCAACTTTTCACTTGATATAATATCAATTTTGTTTCACTTTCACAACCAATCCAATCAACTGAATCAATTGTTGATTAATTGCTCATTTATATTTGATGTGTCTCCTGTTTTTTTATTTGATTGTGATTAACATTGATCGGTTATTTATTGATATTGTATAACAATCAATTTAATCAATTTAATTGTTACAATGATTAGGAAGAGAAAAAAAAAGTTTCTATTTGTTCAATTTAATTTTCAAATTTGATGAATGAAAGATTAACCCGGAATTAATTGTAAACCATCAACACAATCAACAATTTAACAATAATCAGTGAGCTTCAATATTTACCTTGCAATTAAATTAGATGATGAGGATGATGAAAAAAAAGGGCAAACATTTATCATCTTCATCATCAAGTCGATCATTTTTTCCTACCTGAAAATTTCATTTTGATTGATAATTATCATGATGATGATGTTTAAATTGTATCTAAATCAGTTACTGATTGTAAGTTACCTTTCAACGTCCATCATAATCATCATGTCTCGATCATGATAATGATTCAATTATTCATTGAACTTTTTTTCTTCCTTTTCTTCAACCAATGAATATATTATTTCCTTGATATTTACTAATAGAAACAAACCTAAAAGCTTATCACTTTCACCTAATCATTTTCAATCTTATTCCTGATCATGTTGATGCTTCTGTGTAAAAGATGATCAACTATCATGATGATTAAATTAACTATTAATCATTAAAATGATGATAATAGTGATTGAAATTAAAGTAACAGCAACTTGATCATCACTGCGAAAGTTTAAAATTCAATTTGATTTTCAATTTACCTCATCCTTTGATCATCATCATCATCATCATCTCTCTCTCTAAATATTATTATCATCACCTACTCTCATATTCACATGAAGTTCACTTCCTTTTCATCATCATAATCATCATATCAATTGATTTGAGCTTGAAAATTTCAATTACCATTGAAAATACATGTTAGGTAAATTACTTTGATGCAACAGGAATAATAATAATAATGATTGAAACTAATTATAAATTGTTTACAATTGAATTGATGCCAAAATTGATTATAAGTAGCGAAATATTTTCTCATGAACAATATTATCATCTAGTGGATGTTTACAATTAAACTGTTGCATTGTAATTGTCATGATAATATTTTTTGTCATCAACAATTGAACAAAAGTCCAAAATTATATATATAAGGTGACACCTTAAGTCAATACAAATATTCAACCTGAATTAATATTAATCATTTTAATATTCAACTCTCATTGTTAACTTGATTGTCCATCTCATTTCTTTTAGAGGTCAGGTCATGATGATTATTATTAATTTTATCATGTCCTTGATTATCATCATTATATTTATATATAATACATGAAAACATGAATCTATTACACCTGGAATGTTGTGATTAATCAAATTTAAGATTCAAATGAATCAGGGGAATGAATATTTCTCATCATGATGGAAAAGATTATCAATGATGAGATAATCACAACAATCTTATCACCTAATCTATCCCTTTCCCTTTGACCGTGAGACTTTTCCCTGAGGTCATCTGTGTATATCATCTTGTAAACCTTGACGATATGGTCATTTGACTTTTGGTCAGTCACTTTAAAACAAAGATGAAGATGAGAAAATCGTTTTTTTTATTGTTACAATTGAAATTTGAGTCAAGTAGTTTCTCTCTCACTCACTCCCTCTCCCTCCCTCCTCTCTCTCTCTCTCTCTCTCTCTCTCTCTCTCTCTCTCGCCTTGCACGTTATGCTTTTACTACGACGTGTTTGCATTTATCATCTTCATCATTCTCTTTCTTTTTCGCCATCATCATCTTACATCCTTTCGGTGCTTTCTTGATGCTTTTCCCTCTCTCTCTCTCTCTATTAGAATCTTTTTGCTCTCTTTTTGTTTATCATCCACTTCCTACTATCTTTAAAGTCTCTTTCTCTCCTCCCTCTTTCTTCTTCTTCTTCCTTATCATCATGATTATCTTCTTCCTTTCGCCTCTTTTTTTTCTGTCTACATACAAGCTCGTTTCTTGATCTTCTTTCAATGACTCTATTGGCATGCTTCCGATTTCATGGTTTTCCAAGTCATTTTCATCAAGAAGAAGATGATGATAATGATGATGACGATGATGATTAAGACACAAGCCAACGATCTCTCATCTTACCTTGTTTCCGTTCTCATCATGTTTATCTTTCAATTTCATTATTCACAATCTTCCGATTTTCAAGTTTCTCAATCTCTCTGACCATTTCCTTACCAATGAATTTTATTATTATCAAAACGATCACGATTATTATTACAATCATTATCCAACTGATTGTAATCAATTTAATCATTTCCCACAATATATATTACACTCTTATGATAACCTTATTTAGGTTAATTGTTGATGAGAATTGATTGTTAGTAACAATGTTACCAATACTAAATACCTTTTCCGATTGTCTATCAATACCATGATTGTAATAATAATTTGTAAATTGTTATCAAAAAAAAAAGTTTAATGATTATCGTTATCGTTGAATATGTGATTTGATTGCTGGTAGACTAACGCTTGAAACAATTGATTGTTAACTGTTAATCACTTCAAGGCTCTTATTTTGCTACATATTAATCAACCTTACTCTCTCTATCTCTCATCTTAATTGTTTACAATCAGTGTTAATTATCATTAGTTTTGTTGATTGTTTTTCCAATTCAAGTTATAATCCAAAAGAGGAAGAAAAAAGTTACCCCACTTTTATTATTTCTCTTTCTTTTTCTCTTTCTTTTTTTCCCACCCTCGCCGGTTCACCTTCCACCTCCTCCCAGTCAATTACTTCCTGTATTATTATTATTCAATCAACTAATTTAGTTAATTGTTTTACAACCTACAAGGTTAAAAGGAAAAACCTAATCAAAGTTTTAAAAAAATTGGCAAAGTTGATTAACACACAACTGAATCAATGTCACAAATTAAGTTCAGTGTTAATTATTCACCATTGATAACAATTAAACTTGATTGTTGATGATCCTCATTATAAATCTACTTATTATAATCAATTAACTAATTGTGTCAAGTGTAAACAAATGTAAGTTTTTACTTTTATGATTAAGGAAATTTGCTAGATCTGATTAAGATTAATTTTCTTCCACTGGTTTAATTGTTGTTGTTAATATAATATTTTGATTGTTAATGATGATTGAATCCTAATAATAAAACATGATGATAATCAACTGAATGTGTAGGTGGATTAAGATAAATCTTATTAGTTAAATAATGAACACTAATGAGGATTTCCTTTGTATTTAATTGTAAACAATCAACATGACTGACAATCCAACATTGAATTGTGATCAACAATTTTAGTACATAATAATTATGATTGAATGTTGTGGTCATCATTATAATCACCATCATCTTAATCATTAAAGATGCTGATGATGTTGGCTAATTGATAATAATGAGCAATCCCAATAATGAAACTAATTGTTGTTGATTTGATTCACATTGCTAATTGATTATTTTTGCTTCTTCGTCTTCAACTTTAATTGGACTCAAAGTAATTGTAATAATAATTGTAGCTCTTGATTGTTGATGATATTTAATCATTAAGGATTGGTAGTTATTATTATCATTATTATTATTGTTAAATGTTGATCAGTTTCATGTTGATTATATTTAATATCTTTATCTTGTATAATCTACATGATGATCATGATCAACGATGATTATGATTGTAATTGTTTTTGATTGATGTTTATCATGAACTAAATCACCATCAGGCTTTGTAATGATGGTCAAGACCAAAATGATCATATTTATGTCAATCAAATACAATCTAATCATGATAATAAGCCACTTGCAATTATAACGGTTAACCAGTCAGCTGAATGAAAAAATATATTTTTCAACAAAATGAAAACAAGATTAAGATTTACAGTTTTAATTACAATCTAATTAATCAAATTACTGTTTGCTGACCCAATTTACATGATACATTTTTCATTTTGAACTTGGAATCTTAATCATGATAATCATCATGATCATCTTCATTTGATTAATGATGATCAACCAGTAACAACAACAACAATTTAATCATATGTAACTGGATCCAAGATTATCCAATTGTTTTTATCAACCATGATCATCAATTTGATTAACTAATTGTTGAAATTAACGACGTTGATGACAATTTGAAAAGCCACAATGAAAATACTTGATACCCTCCCAATATATTATACACAATCAATTAATCATCCTTGGCTTAATTGTCTCGTGTTGATAACCAACAATCAACATTCAAATATTAATAATTATTTTCAGGTTCATTGATAATATTATACAAATTGAACTGATTTTCATGATAACTTAATTGTTAATGTTTCTTTCCTTATGTTCAACTTTAAATTAACCCTTAATTGTTGCTTTCCTTTTCTTGATGAAAATCATTTGATTCTAATTGTAATAATTGGAATGATGATAATTATCATGTATCATTCATGAGACCATTGAATTGATGAGCATGAAAAGTTCAGTTGTGAACTTTTCATGATTGAAACTTTTTTCTCGTGGACAAATTTTCAGGGTTAACAATTTACAGAAATTAATTCATATTTAAGTTAAGCTTTTCAATCAAAAATTAAATTTAACATGCAATTGATTAGATTAACAATTTGATGATTTCTTGTCAATCAATTTGAATCATAATTATTATTATCGTAACAATTATGGCTACTGTTATATTATCATGTTAGATTTGCTTCTTAAATTTCAAACAGCAATTTAATTTAATCATGATTAAGCCAATGAACTTAATACAATTAATGATTACGATGATTATTGTTGTTTTTATTTACCAGGAAAACAATTGAAATAATTAAAACTAATTTATGAGGTAATGTTTTAATTAACCTAATCATTATCAGACAACAACCTTTTACTATTATAATCTGTCAATTAAATTACTATCAACTTGGAGTTTGATTAACAATTTAATTGTGTATCATAATTGCTAGACAATTAATAAATACACTTAATTAGAGATAATTAATTTTTAATCAGTCTATTGTTATAATATGCAGTTAATCAATCAATCAATCAATCAAAAGTTAATAGTCAATATTAGTGATCAGTTTCATTATCAAATGTTTGTCACCACAATGATTAACTAATACTTGAAAAAAAAGATATAACAACAATTAAGAAATGATTATCATTGAAATTATCGGAAAGTAGTCAGGAAATAATTAATTGTCGTTAAAAGCAAAAGATTGAGATTAAATTGTTGTCCTTTGAAAGGATTGATTATCATGAGGTAATTTAGTTAAACACTTTTACCTTTAAATTGTTAATTCAGTTAAGCCTCTAGTCTTGATTTTTATCATCATCTTGATCATCATTTCAACCCTGCCCTTGATCTGGTCTGATTTATTAATCATCATCATCAATTTGCCGTAGGGTTAATTGTTATTAACCTGGGAACCTGAATAAGTATATATAAAAAAATGAAAAGTTATCATTCTGAAAACCAGATTAGCTTGATTGTTGATTGATTTTACTTTTTAATTACCACGTAGATGATGATTATCATAGTATATTAATTATTACCTTTAGCCTGACGCTTGTGAGTTAAATTGTCAAGTTGATCAAGAGCAAAGAGATAAACAAAAAAATAAACAAAAACCCAAATTCTGATCAATATAAACTAATCATAATTGTAAAAATTAATACTACGAGACCTGAATTAGTTAAATAACCTCGATAATTAACCAACAATTTAAAATTTAATCGAAATATTCAATTGCCTGTGATAAACTTTAAAGGAACCGGAAAGTTAATCAGCTTGAAAGTTTTCAATTTAGAGTATGTTTAATTTAGATTATGATCAACAATTAAGAATCAAGGTTACCCTGATTAAATCATTTACCTGTAATAATTTCCGCTTTTTAATACAATTTACCTCCTACTTCTTGATCAATTTTCATGGTCACTTTAATCATTGGTAAATCACGTTGCCCATTCACTTGATTAACTTTTCATTGTTTATGAATATTTAATATTTTCAAAGTATTAACAACAACATCCGTTACTTTTACCATGATAATGATGATCATCTTTCCCTTTTCTTCATCAATCCATTATAATCTTGCTCTTAACATGAAGATGATTATATAACTTTGTCATTTGGTGATTTACTTATCATAATCATGTTAATCTCATTAATCTCTCAATCCTCAGATAATTCATTGAAACTTTGATAGTTCTTGAATATCATATTCATTGTTTTCTTCATGGGGAAAACTATTTTTTTTCAATTGACCATCTTAATGGTTATGATAATCATTTTTATGATCATGATCGTGATGATTTAGATGATGATATTGTCCATTGTAAGTGGACATTTAAGGTTTACTGACCACCTCTCATGATGAAAATGATGATGATCTCTATTGAATCTGAGGCTTTTTCATGGTAATGAAATTTACATGAGCATTTTTGGGAAACAATTTATAAATTACATTGTATTTCTAACTTGACATTGCCTTTAAATCAAAACCAATAAACTGTATCATCTTTTATCATCATCGCCATTATCTTGATCTTCATTTCTCTCTCTCTCTCCTCCCTCAACCATTATTATTATTTAGTATTATCACTTTATCTTCATCTTTTTTTTCATCTCAAAGACTAAATAACTTAGAGTAGGTGGAGAAGATGAAGAGAAGAGAAGAAAAAATGTTCTAAGAATCGAATTTTTCTTCATCTTCTCTTATTCTTTTTTCCTGTTTCCTCCTCCCTTTCTTTTCACTTTCATCTCAGGTACAAATACTTTCATTCTCTCTCTCTCTCTCTCTCTCTCTCTCTCTTTCGTTTTCATCCTTATCATCATCATCATCCAACAAAAAAGGAGGAAAATCTTATATATTTACTTTGTATAAGGACTTTTAGCTTTTCCTCCTTTGGTAATATTTCATTTTCTTTGAGATAATTTCTAACCAATTTCACACTTTATCAGATTGATAATAACAATAATAATTCACATGGTGGAGATAATCATGATGATGATAATCTCTGTAATCAATATCCGCAAAGAATTTCATTCCAAATATATACTCCAAAGAAAAGTATGATGATAGAGATGGAAAAAGTTTGATAATCTTCAGCATGGAAATAGCAAAACTCATTGTTATCCGTATTTGCGGTTATCAATGAAAAATGATTTCTTTTTGTTATCCATCATTTAATTTTTCTAACAATCAACTCACAATTTCGTGATTAATATTACAAACTGACCACCACCCACTTAATTAGTTACGATTTATTTATTTCCTCCTCGGTCAAGTAGATTAACTTATGCAAATGATTGTGTTTTTGTGTGTTGTTAACTTTTCATCCTGTTGTTTACTTTAATCAACAATATCTCAAGGATTCTAACGGTTTCCTCTTTTCTTGCTTTGTTTATCTTTCCATTTACAGAAGTGGCCTCACCCGACGCAATAATAGTAATAAGCGAAAAGAGGATGAAAATGACCTCGAAAATGTCACCCAATGTCGTCCAAATGAAATCGATGTTGGTTTCAACACAACGGAAACAGTTTCGGTCAAGCTGACAAATGAATCAAGTCCACAAGAAACTGTTAAAAACAATAATAACAATTTGATCAATATAAACAATCAACGTAATCAACATCATCTTCATGCTGATTTATCATCATTGTCATCATCATCTTGCCCATCACCTCAATCATCTTGTACTGATAAAAGGAGGAGACGAGGAGTAGTAGGAGGAGGAAATGATAATCAAAGTCAACCTGATCAACTAATTACTGGTGATAATTTGCTGTTACCTTCAACTCATCATGATAATAATGCAAATCAATCAACTAATTGTGCTCAAGTTAATGAGCATCAACAGAAACCAATTGACGATCAACATGATAACCTTAATTCAAATACAATGACGATTGATTCAGATAATCACTTATCAACATCATCACTAGTCAATGAGGTAAGTTAAATGATAACAATTGAACAAGAAAAGAAGTGCAAGAAAAAAAAATCAATTTAATTTCTAACAATCATGATATTATTAAAGTTAATTGTCCTTAATCATTTCCGAAAGTAATAATGATAATAATGATTTAAATTGGTTTACCAAATGATAACATTGAATCGTTTCCATCATCATCATGAGCTTACATTTCATAGTAACTTCCGATTCTGTTTCGCCATCATCATGATATCAATTGAGATTAACAAGGTTGCTTATGATGATGATGATGATGATGATGAGACTTAGTAAATGATAAAGGGTCATTTAGATGATAAAAGATGATAAATGGATGATGATGATTTAGTTTGTTTTTGTTTTTAAGGTTCTGCGGATGAATGGAAATCGAGTTCAAATGTTACTCTCTTATGTTTATTGTTTATTGAAAGGTTCAGTTGATTTTGAGATGATGATGAAAATGAGGATGAGGATGAGGATGATGAAGACAGACAATAACATCTGATTTAGACAGTCAGAGGATGAGGATGATGATGAGACGGAAAAAGGATGAGGATGAAGATGAAGATGAAGATGAGGAATTGAAAAACAACCACAGACTCGATGATCAGAAAAGTTGTTGATTGTTTATCTTGATTGTCTCTGAAAATAATTGTGACAATCAATTTTAATTGTTTGTTGTCAACGTTAATTAACTGAGGTTTAAATGATGAATTTTTATTAATTTATTATTACAAGGCAAAGTTTAATTATTGATACGATCTTTTCTGTAATTAGTTAACTGCTCATTTTGTTAAGTTTGTCATTAGTTTGATGGTTTTTAATTGTTGATCTTAATTATTTTGTTTCTTGGTCGTTGATTATTTAAATTATAGTTGTTAAATTAACTACTTAAATTGTTTCGCTTTTTTGATTTAATTGTTGCTTTTTTATTTCCTCTTAAAAGTTTATCATATTATTATAATGCCGTTAGCATTTCCTGTGTGTTAATCATTTCTTAATTGTTACTCTTGATCAGATTTAAATTTTCAAACGAAAACACTTAAGGTGTTTTCATTTGATGATGATGATGATGATTAAAGTATTTAATTTAATTGTGATTAATTATAATCTTTTTTTGCCCATTTACGCCTTAATTTTATTTTACACATCGATTGATTGTTACAATTAAGTTTCTCCTCGATTGATTAATCAATAACTGTCATGAGTAGATAACAAAATATAATGAAAATTTATTCTTATGAAAGTTTATCAACTAATTTAGTCAGTTAATTGTAATCCATTAATTGTAAACTGATTAACTTTTGCTTTTTTGCTTCTTGATTAAGCTTAAATCTTTGTCAATTTGATGATAATCTACTAATTGTAACCAGGACAATTAGGTCAACATTATCACTTTTTTTGGATTATTTAATTTTTTTTTCGGCGGCCAAAAGTTAATCAAATTTAAAGCTTAACTTTTTGAAAGCGATCCAAAAGTAACTAGAATAAAAAATGATCACAACAATTTAAATTAACAATCAACAATTTAGTGAAGGCGTTTAAATGATAAATTACAATTTGAAACTGTTACTTTTTAATTGTAAACAATTAACCAGTTTTTTTAATTGGTATGGTCAAGGTTAACCAATAGTTTATAATTGGTGTTTGTTGAAACAACAAACTGCTTGACCATAAACAGAATTAGATTTAAATTGATTACAATTTATTTTAAAAAAAATCATTTTTCCTCATCAACCATCAATTATTGATTAATCTTAACCACAATTAACAAATGATAATAAGACCAACAATTAATCAAAAACAATTTAAACCAAAAATTAATAATAAACAACAAAAATTTATAAGAAAAAGTTTCTTTTGGTTAATATCTACCTACACTTTTGTTATCCTATCCCGTTAATACCTTAATTGTAAAAGTTAATTGTTACCATAATTACTGTTGATTTATGTATTTATAAACTCACAATAGAATTAATTATTATTCTTAATTGTTACAGGCTTATCGAAATGAATGTATTCAATTGCGTCAACGAGTTCGAGAATTGGAGCAACAGAATCGATTGTTAACTCTTCTTTTAGCGGAACAATTAGTAAATTCATCAACTAATTCAGTTGATAATCGAAGTAAATTGGACAAATTAATGGCAATAAATAGCTTGACAAATAATTTACCACAATTAATCAGGTAAATACAATCAATAAGCATAAGAAAACAAAACAGAATCACCAATAACAATTGAATACAAAGGAATCACAATTAACGTAAAAAAAATTCAACGATCAATTATTTGATTGTAGCAATTTAAAAGTTTCAATGGGTTTTTCAACTTAACCATGATTTTGACCTTTTTTTGATAGTTAGTAAATTGGAAAAAAATAGTAAGATTGGTTGAGGTTAATTAGTTAATTGAACTTAACCATTTAGATTGTTGGAATCAATTGTTAATTTCCTTTACCATTCAGTTACAATAATAATAGTTAAATGATTTTATTGATTTCTGGTTAATTTTATATTATGTTACCTTAAGTGTTTATTGTTACAATTAGAAGGTCTCTTTTGTGTGATCACAATTTACTAATCATTTATAACAATTTTACAATTTTTCAGTGAATATGAATCAACCTTATTGGATAATAATAGTAATCATGATGAAGTATCAATCATGAATTCATCTCCACCAGGTCAAGGTCATTTAATGAATGAATCTAAAGGAATCACATTAACTTGTGAGTCGGATTATTGTGGATCAATGGGAAATAATCATCCTGATCATCATTATCATCATCATATATTCAATAACAACAACAATCACCATGATGATGGTGATGAAACTGAACGTTCAGATAGATTGGTGAGCATGAGTAAAGATAACTCAATGCTTGGTTTTAACCTTACCCATGTAAATATTGATCGATGGAGGAAGATAGAAGAAGATAAATCGAAAACAAAAACAACAACAACAACACAATTAACATCACAACCTAATTTACCAATAACCAACCAGTTAACCAGTCATTCAATTTTACCTTTAACACCAATAAGTGAAACAATTAACACAATTAATTTAGAACCGTTATCGTCGAGTTCACTTTCCTCTGTTTCTTACCTTGATCATCAGAAAAAGTCATCGTACATCAACAACCTGATTGAAAACAATTCAACACTTTTCACCTCCACCTTATCCTCCTCTCCCACCACCTCCACCTTGACTACCACCACCACCATAACCTCATTGCCCTCTTCATCTGACCCCTTTACCACCACCACCATAACCCCCACCTTAACATGTACACCAGGTAGCACAGTCTCAACTTCAACACTTACAGCCTTGAACTCAACTCTGATTGGGTCACCTTCATCATCTCTATCATTATCACCACCACAATCACCTAAGAAATTAATTACATCGTCAATCCTTGATCCAAATTCTAGTCTATTTCAATCAAGTAACACTGTTAATTGTTCACCATCATTATCATCTTCAAATCAATTAGAGAAACGGATTCTTTTTATATTATCCTCGAATAATAATAATAATCATAACCATAAATATTTCAATTCCACCTTATCCTCCTCATTATCATCATCTTCATCTTCATCATCATCCTCATCAACTTCTTCTTCAGTTTCAACTGATAAGATTAACTGTGATAATCGTTTAATCAACAAACCAGGTAATTTAGCCCTTAGGACATTATCGGGTTCATCAAGTAAATCAATTGTTTCCCTTGAGAAAGATAGTCCAGCTTCAAGTGCAACCTCATTTGACTCAAATGGTGAACTTACCTCAAAAGATGAAGGCTATTCAACAATGTCCAGTGATGTCCAGTCTGATATTGGAAACAATAACAATGGTTCAATTGTTACAATCAATACTACAGCCAACTCTCAATCAACAACGATACCAAGCAAAAATGAATCAACAATCAATTCAATTTTGGACGATAAAGAATCAGTAACATCATCAACAACAACAACAACCAATGAGGATAATAAAACTAACCGATCATTTCTAATACTGACCTCATCACCACCACCATCACATTTAACACCCTCACGAACCATTAAACCTCCTCCTCCACCACCATCAGGTTCAGCAGCGGGTTCATCATTGTCAACTCTTCTTCACCTGAAACAACAACAACAATTAAAAGTTGAAACAATTGAGATTAAATCGGAACCAAAGAAAATGGGAGTTAACGGATCACCAACAAATTCAATTCCATTAACATTCATGTCAACAGTTAATCCAATTGTTGTTGGTTCAAGTCGATTAACAACTTTTAAATCATCTCATCAAAATGATTGTTTGGTTACATCATCACCATTAACAACAATCAACAATAATCGTAAAAACAATAAGATGGAATTAGTTTGTGAGAAAGATTCTGATTTACTGATTGCAGATACAATTAAACTTAATTGTAACAATAATATAACAACAACGACAGGTATTAAAAATCCTTCCCAATCAACAGTAACAACAATTAAAGGTGATGCTGATGATAAATCATCAAATTGGTTGCATAGTATCAACAATGATAACAAGGAAAGAGAGGAAAATGATTCTCAATCAGTTAATTATTGTAAAAATCAAATTGTTAACTGTGATTTCATTAGAAAGTCAAGAAAAAGTTTTAATGGTAAATTATCAGCTCATCGATACACTTTCCCTCCGGTGGTAACTCGACCTGTAGCCAATACCTTGGACGATATTGAGTGGACACCTTGTCTTATTTATCAGCCATCAAAACCACCAACTGACCATCAGGGTGACAATTTAATTACTGATAAAAATGACCGTTTCTCTAATTGTGAATCAAGTTTAATTACTACAGCTGAGAAATCAACTTCCGCTGATTTTGATGATGATGAATCAAGATGTCTAGTTAATAATCGTGAGGTAATCATTTATCAAGATAAAAGGAAGAGAAGTGGAAAAAATCATCATCATCATCACATGGGAAAAGTTGAAGATGATGTTAATCTTGATGGGAAAACTAATCAACTGAATCAAGTTAAATGCGATTCTGTTGATTGGAGGAGTAAAATTGGAAGACGGAAAAGTGCCATTTCCAAAGGATCAGATTGTGGTTCATTGATGATGAAAACAGTTAAAGATACTACAGCTGATGATGAAGATGAATATGATGATAGTGATGATGGTGATGAGGAAGAAGATGAAGATGAAGGAAAGAGGGAAAAAATGAAAAGAAATCATAAAATTGACCAAAAGAGGAAGATGAAAGTTTATCATAAGTTTCCACCGGCACCAGAGTCAAGTTCATCTTCCCATGGATCTCAATCGTTAAATCGTTGGCATTCCGATTCTCAGTTATATTCTGATTCCATGAAACAAGATAAACCACCGGTGGAAATGAGACAAGTAGATGTTAATTGTCGATCAAATTGTCGCTTTCCCCGTCGTCATCGTGATATAACCAATGTTTCTCATCCTTGTCAATCTTTCGCATCGACTTGTAAACGATCATCTGGTTATATTAGACGTCGCATTAAAAGGGAGGATCGAGCGCGAATTGATGAGTCCCATCGATGGTCAACACTTTCTACTTCTAGTTCTGCTCTATCTGATGGCCTGGAAGCGCCAATCTACTGTGAACGTCGTCGATATCGACCTCGACTTCCAATGACAATAACAACGACTCATATTGATTCAACTGGAACCGAAATTTACTCCCAAAGACGGAAACTGGAACAGGGAATTCAATTCATACAATGAAATACATTTCATCTGATGAAAATCACTCGGCGGATGATGAAGATAGTGCTGAGCGTTTTGTCTCCCGTTGGCTTCATAAAAGCGGAGGTGGACTTCGTTGGGACGATTCTGAGGTTACCTGGAAATTGAATGAATCTCTTGATTGGCCTGAGCCAATTGAATTAGAAAATGATAATTGTCTTTCTTCAACCTCATCACCGCCATCAATATCAACATCAGCAGATAAGCAACAAGAGGGCGATGGTGATGATGATGATGATGACAATCAAATTATCACACATTTAAATAATGATGATACGTTTGAAGAGATACCATTGATTGATGATGATTCAAGTGAATCAGAAAAAATAGAAATCACTTCAACAATTAACATTAATAATCTTAACGATAGAAATAGTTACAGTGTCTTAATCTCACCCTGTGTTGATGAAGTGGGTGAGGTAGATGTGAGTCACGAAGGAGGTGGGGAGGGTTACATATCCTCCGATCAAGCTTCGTCCGTACCCGATGATGGCCTAACACCGGAGACTCATTTCAATGGTGACTTTTACCGACTCTGTTCAGTTGGATCTCGAACAAGTTTACAACAACCTGATGATGAAATTAGTCTTCCACCCTCATCATCTGGAGCCTTATCATCACTTTCATCATCTTCATCACCTCCATTGACAGATGTCAAAGAGCAGGATGAAGATGAGGAAGATAATCAAGATGATGCTGTTAATTATGTTGATAATGAGACTAAAATTGTCTTAAAACAATTAACCAATTCTAATGATGATGAATTGTTGATAATAACAACGACAACCTCAACCAATAATAGTAATAATTACAACCATCAGATACAATCTTCTAAATCATTTGATTATAATCATGATGGAACATCATTAATTAACTCACAATCAACTAGTTCATCGGGTCAATTGTCAACGGTGGTGAAAAATGTTCACTCAGATGAAAATTTAACTTGTACACCCGATGAATTACAATCAACTGATTCTGTAAATGAAATGTCAATTTCTCCAATGATTATGATGATTAATTCATTAAAATCAATCCAGTGTCTTTCATCATCATCTCCTGATAAATCAGTAAAATCTGAACTAATTGATAAAAATACACCAACGTCAACAATTAACACGGGTTTAATTAAAGAAAGTCAATCACCAACTGATTTAAAGGAAATACCTGAAGAGAAACAATTAAATAAAGCAACTATTGAACAATCAGTTTACCTTAATGATGAACATGAAGTAATTAAGGATAATTGTCCAATCTACGAGGAAATCATTGAATCTACAACAATTAAACCTTCAACAACAACAATTAATTGTTATCCTAAACCAATCTTGATTAAATCATCATCAACTAATCAGACAAAATTATCACCAACAAGGATACCATTACCTAAACAAAGTAATTCATTAGATGCAATTAAAATTAACAACAATAAGGATGGATTTAAATTACGTTTTAATTCAACAACAGCAACAACAATTGATTCAATTACCAATAATAATGTTAACAATTTAATAAGCAAATCATTTATCAATCAACATCAAGTTAAAAGGTTAAACAATAATAAGATGATTAACTCTGAAGGATTAAAAGCAACTACATCAAGCTCATCGTCGTTAATCAATAAAAAAGTTGGAACTGAATTAAAAAGTTTCAATAAGATGATGATGGAGATTAAAGCTCGGATGGAAAAGAATAACAATCAAATTAATCATAATCGACTTTTTAATCGTAAATTAAATGAATCAATTCCAAGTATTGAAGAGTTTGAAAGGAGATTATCTGAAGATAAACAAATGGCTGATAAAATCCGCGAATTTTATTCAATTTTTGAACAATCAACATCACAATTAAACAGTAAAACCAATTTAACTACAATTCCATCATCAACAACAATCAATTCAATTACATCGACAATACCAACACCAATTAAAGGAGTTAAAAGTAACCGATCTCGATCAACCATTTCTGGTGATTTAATTAGAGGAAACAACAACAACAAATTAACAAACAACATTGAAGATATTAAATCAAAGTTAAATTATCCTAAATTGTTACGTTCCAAGGGCATCGGAGGAATGGGAAACAATTCAATCGGCTGTGGCGGAAGTGGACCAGGTATTGGCGGTAATAATAATCCCACCGGTGGTAATGATTCAAGTAAAACAATGAAGGAAGGTCATGAAACCTCATGGGTCCATGTAAGCGGATTCAATGTTGGAAAAGTTTCTGAAACTTATCATGAAAAACACCAACAATTACCACCACCACTATCAACATCAACATCTCCCTCGCCATTATCATCTGCTGTAATTACCTCAACAAGCGTTAATTGTAATAATCGTAATTTACTTAATTGTAGTAGTAAATTAAGTTCAGATTCTGGTTCATCTGAGGATGAATTCAACCTTAGTAACATTAAGAGTAACGGTGGTAAGAAAAGATCCTCTTTCCACCAGCGTCTTCTTGCCCTTCACAAATCTCGAAGACAGAAAAAAAGAGGTAAGAAATTAACTAATTGTTGCAAGTAATTTAATTCTAATTGTAAAATTTGTTTTTCTTTTTTCTTTCGTAGCTTCTGATTGTTACATGGGAATGGGATTTCTGCCTAAAATTAGAGCCTCAATTGTTGATAGACTTGATTTTTATCATCGATTTGGGGACAAGGAACAAGAAGCCTTAACATCATTCAATTTTCTCAATGATCTTCCAATATCATCATCATCATCTTCTTCATCTTTATCATCATCAACCACCAACCACTCAATTAATAAATCATCAACTTCCACTTGCTTGATTCTATCAACTGATTGTAATTTTGTCCAAGAACAAAAATTGTTACTTCGCTGTTACCTTAATTCATTTCAACCATTAACTACTTCGTCATCCTCATCATCTGATTTATCATCATCTTACACACAACCACCACCTCCATTGGTATCTCACCCACCACCTTCATCATCTTCATCATCATCATTTAAATTATCACCTTACAAATGGCCTCAATCACCAATTAAATCAACATCATCTTCACCTCGATATCAACAATCAGTTGCAAACAATTATATTCTTAATCATGAATTAACCAAACGACCTGTTGGAGGAGTTAGTTAATTGTTCAACCATGAGAAAGATTAATTATCAAATTATCAATGATCAGTAATTATTTAATTAGAATAATAAAAAACAAAACTAAATCTTTTCAAGAGAAAACAATTAATTTTCAATTTGGTTAATAACTAATTTTCATCGTCATCATCATCTAATTATCACCAATGATTATTACTATTAAATTGATTTATTATCATTATTATTATTACTATTATTATTATTTACTAATTGTACATTTACAATTAAGCAAAGTTAATTGTATAATAATAACAAAATTAAATTATATTAATATTATTACAAATGAAAATCAACAAATTTGTGAACAAAAAAAAATGGTTAAGGTGACAATTTGATGACTAATTTAAATCTATTTATCTGATTGTAATTGTGAACTAAATTGCTACTCTCATTGTAATAGATTAACAGATTGTTAATTAATATTTTGTTAACAAAAAGATGAAACTAAATTGTGTATAATTGTGTCTGTTAATTGTAACAATCAACTTTAGGAGCGAACCCATGAAAGAAGCAGTTTAACCTTAATTATCAAAAGAAATTAAATCAACAATCAACTAATTATAAATATAAATGATGATTAAAACATATATATAAATGTATAAATACAAATGTACAATCAAATTAACTGTAATAATTAACACTCTGATTATTATTATATTACAATTAGACTCGAATCTCAATTTCATTGATTAGCCGTTCATCTAAATAATACAAACAGAATGAACAATTAACTGATTACAAAACAAAATCAATTGATTATCGCGTTAATTATAATTTAAACAGGTTCATTTAAATTGTTAGCTTTTAATTGTTGTATTTATAAATCAAGTACAATATTAAATTAGTCGCAAAGAAAATGATTAAACTTTCAGAGGACTAATTAGATTTAATTTGTTTACTAATCATTAAATTGATCAATTAAAGGGCAAGGATTATAATTTGTTTTTCCCATTGTGTAAAATGTGATTTACTTGATTGAATCAAATTGTCGACTTAATTGTTAACCTTAATTAACTCACAGAGATGAACATAAGAAAATGTTCAACGAGTTGGTTGTTAATTAGTTTCGTTGATTTGTTTTTGCTCCAGTTTTTTTTTTGATTCAGACAATTGTAAATCATTTTTAAAATGTTGAATTAATTGTTGGTGATTAACAATGAGAAAATTTTGGCAGAGAAACAATTAAATGAGAGAAATCAATCATCAAGGTTACAATTTGCTGAGATTTTATCCTTTTGATTGTTTTACAAGATGAAGAGTTTAAAAATATTATATATTACATATGTAAATATATATCGTTTTAGTTTATAATTGTAATTAAATTGTCAATTAGTTGATTAGTTAACTATTTTTCTTATTATTATCAAATTGTGTTAAATCAAAAACAGAATTGAGCATTTCTCTTTGTCCTTAATTATGGGTTTATCTTTTTCCTTTCCTTTCATTGAATTTTAATCCAGTTTCGAGAATTTTTTTTCGACAAAGACAATCAATTGATTGTTCCATCTCCAATCAACTGGATTAGTTTGTCAACAATTGTTATTAATTGTTACTCTTTTGTTCAGTTCACCAGAATTCATTCTGGTTAGAGTTTGGTTGTTTTTCTTCCGCATTCTTTTTCTTTATTTTTTTTCCTTTTCCTTCTGTATTATTATTTAAGGCAAGTCGATGATGATGATGATGATGGAACAGGAAGAGGAAATGATAAAGGTGAAGGTGGGAGAGAAAGGGTTACATTTAAGTCAATACAATGATGAGTTTTGATGATAAGGGAGACTAGCTTTTGTTTTGTTCCATGAGAAAACAATGTTAATATTGGAAGATGATGGTGATAATAATTGATCACAATGTAATCGAGAAACAATTAAGATAATTGTAAATCATCTTATTGTTAATCAAGAATAATCAAGATTATGGATTGAAGTTTATGGATTAATAACATTGTATCTAAATGAATGAATTTGTAACTCCACTTGAATTTTGATCAACAGAAAACTGAATGGTCACTATTGTGGTCATGGTTCGACAACTTGGTGACAATTAGGTAACA